CATCGCTGCCCAGACAAATGCGCCACGAGTCACTATGATAAGGTTGTGCCCTGCTGTCATGATGGTGACAGTCACCGCGGTATGTTTTGTCAACGTCACCCGTGCACTCTTCCGTCAAGTGAAATAGGTGGAAATGTAGTTCTGTCGGGATCAGCGCTTTCGGAAGGATGCCACGTGGGGAGGCCAAATGCAGCGTCCGGAACATCGTCCGCACTGCCTATAATGTCACACATGTGCAATGCTGCACGCGGGTTTTTTTGCGCGGTATCTTTATGTGTGTCCGTTCCTTTGCCCGTGTTCTTCGTAATCGCTTTTGCGGGGGCACTTTCGCTTTCTTTGCAAGAGGCCCATGCTTTTTCCCTTTCTTTTTCGATGTCTTAATGCGCGCGGCGGGCTCTTTCACCCGCGATCTCGCCTGCTTTGCTTTCTCCCGAGATGTCACCATGTAAGCGGCCTGCTTTGTCTTTGCGTGTCCAGGCGCAGTTTCTGTATGTCGCCTTGGTGGTTCATGACTACGTGTCTTCTGGCCAAATCTCGCCATGTACTTGGCCTGCTTTGTCTGTGTATCCATTTCATGTGCGACCAACAAAATCTCAATGCACTACAGAGACTAGACAGTGGGTGCAATACGCTCTCTATCTGAAGACGTGAACCATTACATTTTTTTGAAAAGTTATACGTACACCTGAAACGTAATGATGTACAGGAATAGAGAGAGAGTGACTACAATACGCTCTCGACCTGATATAGTGATAACGTGAGTACAAGACACTCTCCACCTGATAACGTGTTAGGCGGTGTTTACATGAGGCGTTTCAACCCGGGTTGAGTTCGACCCGGGTCAGATTTCAACCCGCCATGTGCATAAATGAATTGCGCGTTTACATGACGCATTGCGCTTGACCCGGGTTGAAATTTCGCCCCGGGTTGATTTCAACCCTCCCCCCAAGGGGAGGGTTGAAATCAACCCAGGTCAAGAAAATCGTACAAACGTACTTCTGTGCGTATCTCGCGCCAGGTTTGAACGGCACGCGCACTGCAGATGCAAATAATTTCGCGCGAACGGATTCACGTGACCATACAGGACTGTAGAAGTGGACTTTTGGCGGCATATCAGTATTTGACCCGGGTCAACTGTCTTCATGTAACCGCTCACCTCTTTTGTCTATCGTACAGACTTTCAACCCGGGCTGAACTCGACCCGGGTTGAAATTTCTCATGTAAACACAGCCTTAGAAGGTAATAGGTCTACAGTCCCACCGTACCCTTCCTACACGACTGTAGACCATTACATTTTTTTACTACAATACGCTCTCGACCTGATAACGTGAGTACAAGACACTCTCCACCTGATAACGTGTTACAAGGTAACAGGTCTACAGTCCCACCGTACCCTTCGTCATTCCTCATTCACCATCGCGCGATACCCTGGCACACACTGGCAACATATCAATGGGGTGCCTTACCGTCGTCTAGAGGAGACGTCTTCGCACCAATATTTTCCCTCCTGCGCATTCAGTCGCCGACGCGACAGCGTTTACGGGGCCGTTCCAGTTGCGGAAGACATTCGATTCATCGGGCCAGTTCAGCAACAGGGCCGTGGTCGGGGCGTGGACACACAGGGGCAGAGGAGAGACAGGCAACACTGAGGGCCGTGGACACACAGGGGCAGAGGAGAGACATTGTTAGTGGACAAGAAATATGCAGTGGCAAGTGGCGAGTGCCACATGGATGTCAAGTTGTCATGCACAATTCAGCTATTACTTACAGTCCCCCTAGTCCTGCCATTGCTCACTCGTCCTGGTTCGTCCTCGTTCGTCTTCCTGCACGTCTGCACTTCTCCTTCCCCACCGTTGGCTTTGCGGTACGGGGGTGCCGGAAGGAATTCCCACCATGTATCCATGTACATGAAGTCCCACCATGTCTCCATGTACATGTCCACGGCCACGTCAGCAGTTTGTACCGGAAGGAGTTCCCACGATGTCTCCAAAGGCCTAGACCGGACGTCTTTGCAGCAATTATTTTCACCCTGCACATTCACTCCGCCCACACGACAGCGTTGACGGGGCCGTTCCAGGTGCAAAAGGTCCACTTCAGCAGTTCTCAACTATTTCGCGTACGGGGTAGTCGCCGTGACAGCGTTTAAGGGGTCGTTCCAGGTGCAAAAGGCATCCATCAATGGCACTTTGCAGTACGGGGTACGGAAAGGGGCCTCCTCGCAGTTGTCCTTGCCGTCAGGTCCACGTCATGCAGTTCTCAACTATTTCGCGTACGGGATAGTCGTCTTTGTCGTACGCGACATCGGCGTTTACCGAGTGGCATTGGCACAAAGCTGACCGTTGACGGGGTCACGTGTCCAAAAAGTGTCAACAACGTGTCGACTACGTGTCGACCACGTGTATAGCGGTACACTCAGCGGTACACTAATTCTCGTGCCATTCTCGTGTCACAAAACTGGAACATCGAGTACCAGTATGGAAAGGCTTCAGACAGGAAGCCTTTCCAATACCGTCGCAACCTTTGACCGATCTTCCTTGCTTGACCCGTTGACCATGGCCGCAGGCATTGAAGACCCGGTTGACCTCCCCGGACCCAACTACGAAAGTGTAGTGACCCGGTTCGATAGCGCGCTACGCTACCGTACAAACATAACTAGCCCGCGCGAATATCGAATGGCGTGATTTTCGCGCAAGCGCATAAGAAGCCCAAGAAAATTATTTTTTGGGTGTCGATCAAATCTCTTGCACCTTGTGCTTCTTCCTTTTTCTTCTCCATTGTGTTGACCTTGAATTTTTCTTCACCATGTCCAAGCCCGCAAACAAAGTTGGTATGTTCAGGATACTTTCGTTTGTTATGGAGATCGGGTTCCTTTGTATAATTTATTCTTCTCTGGAATTCATTTCACCCAGCTGACATCAGCCTCGCGGCTTATGGCCGTAGAGAGCTGGAGATCGCTGAGAATGAAATGCCTGGTCTTATGGAAATGCGCCGCAAGTTCGGAGAGAGCAAGCCTCTCAAGGGTGCCCGTATTGCTGGATGTCTTCACATGACCATCCAGACAGGTATCCTGATCGAGACTCTCACTGCCTTGGGCGCCGAGGTGAGGAATGCGAGTTCAATTAACTGGTCGGATTGGGAAAATTGTCACAGCAGTAGGCCCACATGTGGTTGTGTGGCAAATGTGGTTGTGTAGTTATCGAGTACTTGTTGCATTTTCTCTTCAAGATCATTCGCATGGTTCCTGAATTAGCACGAGTTAAAAAATGTTGTCTGTACAATAATAGTCCCCTATTATTTGTACCAGATTTACGCCAGTACATGTAACTGAATCCGGTGTGTACGAAAATATGCAGCCACTTCGGTTCATTAGCCTCATACATGTCAGCGATGCTACTGTACGTGGCAAAGAACGAAAATGTTTGTTTTGTATGTTCTGTATGACCCTATGGGAGTCTGTGCTTGCGCAATCACTACTGAAGACTGCAGTGATTTCGATACATACTGAGTGGCACACAGGTGACACAGTAGTACAGACAGTATGCTACTACAAAGTACAATGTACAATGTCATGTAATACAAACACGAGTACATGTACATGCAGCCACACATGACATTGTAAGAACCGACTTCATTGGTTGCCATTTAATTTTGTATGCTCAACATTTTGCTGAAAACTGGTACCACGGCCTCACAGATTGTGGATTCTAAAAATAATGCATCGCGGCTTCGACTTACTAATACATTACTCACCAATACCATGTAATCGATGAACTCCGGTTTTCTGTTCCTCGTATCCGCGGACGCAGACTCTGGTTGTTATTACAGTAGAGTCGCGCGCTGAAAAACATGGAGCCCAAGAACGTCCAGCCTGAAATTCTAAGAACGCCACAGCCTAAAGATAAGAACGGAGGTGTTGGTTTTCTGGCAGCTTGTTGGACACATATGATCCAGTACGGATTGTTTCTAAGAACGTGCCATAAGAACGCAGCCAGATTGCTGAAAAATAAGAACGTCCCAGGCTAACCCCTTGGAAACATCGTTCTTGGACGCGCGACTCTACTGTAGTGCTTGTTAGTGCTTATTAGTGCTTGTTTATACTGAAACTAGACCCTCTTTTTTTTTCCACAGTGCACATGTATATGTTAATGGTGACTTATTTGGTGGGCTTGAAGCCATGCAAAAGTGAATTTTGGTTGCATCTAATACCGGTGTGTGCTTCTGCATTGTGTGTACGTGTGTATTGTGTAGGTACAATGGTGCAGCTGCAACATCTTCAGCACCCAGGACCATGCCGCCGCCGCCATTGCCGTAACTGGCGTGCCCGTGTATGCCTGGAAGGGAGAGACCGACGAGGAGTACATGTGGTGCGTTGAGCAGACCATTGTCTTCCCCGACGGCCAGCCACTCAACATGATCTTGGACGATGGCGGTGACCTCACCAACCTCGTCCACGAGAAGTTCCCCCAATACGTTGAGGGTAAGTGCTACGCATTTGTCGTGTAGCGTCGATTGCTGAACATAATGCTTGTGGGCAGTGATCTGTTTAGACGCATTTTGTGTTGTATCCATGAATCTATAATGCTTGTGGGCAGTGATCTGTTTAGACGTATTTTGTGTTGTATCAATGAATCAAACTTGCTGCTGTTGTGCGTTGGTACAGGTATCTATGGCTGCTCCGAGGAGACCACCACTGGTGTCCACAACTTGTACAAGAAGTTCAAGGCTGGACTCCTGAAGATGCCTGCCATCAACGTCAACGACTCTGTCACCAAGGTCAGCAAAGCTCTCTTGCCTCTCTCATGATGTTGCACTGGGTTTTTGTTTTTAGTGACTTGTCAGTTTGAGCACTCTGGCAAGGTACGTTCGGGCCTGGTTTAAATCTGGCTTTGGAAAATTTATTTTTCATTGCTATCAGGTTCGGCCTCATTTTCTCTGTGCTGCACTGGTGAGTCCACGAAGGACGAAAGTTCTGCCCGCAGATTGAGTGTTTTTGTTTTTACATATCCTGCTTGCTTGTGTGTATTCCATTTTTTACTGGACGTGTAACAAACATTGTTTGGGTTTGTGCTTGCAGTCCAAGTTTGACAACCTCTACGGATGCCGTGAGTCTCTTTTGGACGGAATCAAGCGTGCCACAGACGTCATGGTTGCTGGCAAGGTAATCATGTGTGCGGTGTGACATCCTGCAGAGCGAATTGGATGGTTTCCTCCCCGTGTGGTGATTCACCCCTGGTTTGTTCAATGCCATTTGCATGATGGGAGTATCCGCTCATGTACAGCATAGTTTCATTGTTCACACCAGTCAAATTCACAATCTTGGCAACATATCCAAGCAAGTTGCGCAAAGTCCTATTTCGATATGCTGTAAGTTCAAAGCTGCCCTCAGGAAATTTACAGCTGACCATGCTTATGCAATCAACGGAATTCCGCCACCTTGCAGTTGATTTTCCCCATTTCTCTCCTCATCAATCCCTACTTGTCTTTGTTCATACATCTACATGTACTAGTAGTAGTACTGTTCTTTCAATCAAATGAACCCCTCGATGGGCGCATTGCCTTTGGGTCATTTCATAATAATAATATTGCTGTCGCGATCCCAATAATCCTGTTCGTGTTAATAGGGATGCGTGCAACTGTGAACTTCCTGTCGTGTGATTGGCTTTCAGTTGTGTTTCTGGAGACCCAGTCAGCGTTCAATACATTACTCTGAGCACGGTGTTCATGTGTATTTTGTTTGCTTTGCCAGGTCGCCCTTGTTGCTGGATACGGTGATGTTGGCAAGGGTTGCGCCCAGTCCCTCCGTGCCTTCGGCGCACGTGTGTTGGTTGCCGAGATCGACCCCATCAACGCCCTCCAGGCCGCCATGGAAGGTCAGTGTACTTCTTTATTGCTCATGCCTGCAGGTGGCTTCATTGTTCGTTTCCATTTGTTCTGGCTGGTGCCGTTTTGGTTTTATCGATGTGTTCACCATGCTGAGCAGTTGTACATGTGCATACTTCCTGCCTTCTGTTGGTTAGGTTTTGAGGTTACCACCGTTGAGGATGCCATCCCCGAGTGCCGCATCTTCGTGACCGCCACTGGTTGCGCTGATATTCTGCGCGTCGATCACTTCCAGGCCATGATGGAGGATGCCATTTGCTGCAACATTGGTCACTTTGACTGCGAACTCGACATTGCTGGCCTTAACGCCTGTGCTGTTGAGAAGGTCGAGGTCAAACCCCAGGTATGATTGTCCTTAGTTACTGTACCTATTGCTACGGTTATTTTCAGTGTTCTTGTGCAGTGAATTGACCTCTTGAATTCCATTGATGTCCACCAGATTTTGGCGGGTAAACGCGTACTAATAAGCCGGCTGGCTGTGTTTGCTTGTCTATAACCAGTCAGTGTGCAAGGTGCGCGAAGAGCAATTTCAGCAATCTGTCTGACCGGTCTTCAGCTCACTCTTTTCTCCAGGGAATGTAGTGCAATGATCTGCTGGTCCTGAGTTTTGCTTACACTCTTAGTGTCTAATGGTTGGTTATACACTGTATCTTGTTACCGTGGTCCCTTTTGTAATCCGGCACCATTTGTTCTACGGAAGTTCTGGAAATCAGAATTATTGATGCAATGGGCATGAAAAGGACATCTTGGCTACTGAGGATCATTCTCCTTTGTTAAATGCTGAAGTAAACGGGGACGGCTGTATTCCAGCTGCTTGTTCTGGTTTCAATGTCGCTTTGATCATGCCCGTCTTAAGCCATTCCACTTTTATGTTGGTGGTTTGCAAATGCGTTTGTCTTGCTAAAACCAGGTTGACCGCTACACCATGCCCAGCGGACGCCACTTGATTGTGTTGGCTGAGGGCCGTCTTGTCAACCTTGGCTGTGCCACTGGTCACCCCAGCTTTGTCATGAGCAACAGCTTCACCAACCAGGTTCTTGCCCAGATTGAGCTCTACACCAAGAAGGAGAAGTATCCACTTGGCGTGCACATGCTCCCCAAGGAGGTAAGGGTGCTCTATTGTCGGAATTTGCAACAGTCATTCATGTACACGTATGCGTTTGTGTATACGTTTGTGTGACTGTGATAACTCAATGCAGGTGAATTTGTTCCCTTCACAAGTTGACATGCATAGTACAAAGCACCTGTACTGTATATTTGTCTGGAATTTAAATTCGTCTTTTTTCGTCCAAAGAGCTTTGGGATTAAGTGCCGGACTAGTATCGAATTGTCCACACATTCAATACTCTTATGGTCCATGGACGACATTTTCAACCGCACACACTCCTTTTCTTTGGAGTTTGACGAAATTATTGACCGACAACATCTGCCTGTACAGTACTCCAGTAATATTTTTCCTTGCGTGTGTAGCTTTACCTAGTATAATATTTCTATCATGCCATACTGTGAATGACAGCGGGGTGTTCTATTTTCTGCTGTCTCTGTGTCCTGTGCAGCTCGATGAGGAAGTTGCTCGTCTTCATTTGAACCATCTCGGTGTCAAGCTCACCACTTTGACTGATAAGCAGTCGGAGTACCTTGGAGTTCCAGTGAGCGGACCCTTCAAGCCCGACCACTACAAGTACTAGTTTATTCTTCTTATAATTATTTTTCTTTCCCATCCTTTCATAAATTAGCCATAAAAATTCCAACAAAACTATGAATAGAATCATCATTTTCTAGACCAATTCGATGTTTGCTTTGTGTGTGGGTGTGATATGACTAAAGCCTGATTCATACTTCATCTCGCGTACGGGAAACCCATCGATGGGTTTCCCGTACGCGAAATGGTTGAGCTCAGATCAACTTTTTCGCGACGCGTTTCCCGTACTCGACATGAAGTATGAATCTGCCTTAAAGGTTGTTGGTGCTGGTAACAGCAAGAGTATGCAACTGTGATCTCTTTTCTATGTGCCAGATGCGCTGCATGCTGCCTTTCTCATATCTCATCATTCTGCACACTGCGGAAAATCAAACACCGCCCGTTTCCTCTGGTTTGACATGAACTTTCGTGCGGAACTGGAGTTCACGTGCCAAAAATTTAGAGATCGCGTACCGGTACTGCAACGAATAGAGCAAAAAACGGATAGGCTCGTACGAGAAATTGGGGATTTGAGTGCATGCTTTCAGAGCGTGATGGAGACAAGTTACGTAATGAATGCAGCGCACTTAACCCACCACCCACAGTTGCATACTCTTGGTAACATACACAACAATCATGTACAGTCCATTTCAAAACTATAGACGCGTAGGGTTTTTGAAATATTTCAAATTTGGCTGGAACTTTTTGAGAATAGTTTTCGGAATATTGCTCAGGACCGCTCCACGATTACTCTCATTATAGTTTCTAAACGATTGGATAACAGACGCCCAATTTGGAAAAATATATGCACAAAGTGATCCCAGATTTTATGTGGTATAGATGCTGGCATAACGGTTTTTGCCCAGGTACACGTCTAGTCTATAGTTTTGAAATGGACTGTAGTTCTACCAAGGCCTGATCACACGTGCAATCAAAAGAACCTGACTGTAGCGTGCGGTACATCTACAGTCCATTTCAAAACTATAGACGCGTACCTAGGCAAAAACCGTTATGCCAGCATCTATACCACATAAAATCTGTGATCACTTTGTGCATAAATTTTTCCTAATTGGGCGTCTGTTATCCAATCGTTTAGAAACTACATATATGAGAGTAATTGTGGAGCGGACCTGAGCAATATTTCGAAAACTATTCTCAAAAAGTTCCAGCCAAATTTGAAATATTTCAAAAACCCTACGCGTCTATAGTTTTGAAATGGACTGTAGTATCCTACTACATGTAGAGGATACCATGGCAGCTGCAAAAAGCAAAACCTTGAATCCATTGCCTCCTCAGTGTCCTTGTGGATTTGTTCTGCCGTATGCACCACAATTCACTTCACTTCTGCTGAAATTCCACCGGATTCAACGGTTTTATGGGAGAGATTTATTAATGCAAAATAACACTGAGTAAATGTACGAGTAGAAGTGTAGGTGACCAGCATTCCCTTCTCATACATGTACAGTGCGTGCCTTTTAGCAAGAGTACATAAACCAGAGTGTGCATATCAGAACTGAACCAGCGCAGTTCGTGCACTGCGTCACCCTGATGGGGGTTTATGTACTCTTGCTTTTAGGTGTAATCTAATTTTAGGTGCTGGTTTTCACTACCGAAATCAAAATGTTCCACAGGATTTTCTAAATTCTGTGGATGCTGCGGAAATTCTGCAATTCACGGTGTGTGTGGGTGTGCCAGCTAGTCCGGTTGGTGGGTATGCATACATGTATGCCAGATAGTAGTGTTGGGTCTGTTGCCAACAGGCTCGGCTGCTTGAAGGTGTGTTGTTGTAACATTAGTGAGGTTTAGTCCCACGTAATCCGTGGGTACTTTACGTGGGTGTACCACGTGATACTCAGTGACCCACGTACAGACGTTTTCTGATTCACGACATACCGTGTATGGAGGCTCACCCACGTTCCGCCAGAACGTGGGTGAAAATCAGAATGGAGCGCATTGTGCGAGCTGTGAGGGTGCTCAGCTGAAGAAGTTTCCGAAGCACGAAATCAAAATATTGGATGAGCTTCTTAGGCCGGGGTAGCTTCGTCTTTGACCAGGTTTTGGCCTTTAGCTTCATGCTTTTGTTTGTTCCGTGTGACTAAACACAACATTGCAACGTGGGTGCCCTTCATCCACTTTACGTGGATCACCCACGTACGCGTTTCCGTTACGTGGGAACTAAACCTCCCTATTATCTGCTACCTTTGTTGGTTTCAGCCACCCACCCTAGTACCAAGCATTACCCTCACTGGGGGCAGGAGTAACTGCAGTTGGACCCGAGGACACATACCCTGATGCCGTCAATCCTTTTTCTGCACCCTGTCCTCACCCACTTACTGAGGTGTGGCGAGCCCGTAAGTGGGATCAGTTGCAAGTCCACCCATAGTTTGGGGATTTCAGGGGGTGTCGGCTGTTGGGTGGTTCAATAGGGCTTGAAAGTGATGACGTCAAAAACGGCCAGGGAGTACTAAGTTGACATCAGATTTCTATTTTGGATCCACTAAGGTGTGACTTTGCTATTGCCTCAGTATGTGGGTGCATAGCAACCCACTCATGTCGTATGCAGGGGTGACTTTTACTTCGCCACCAGTTGTAACCCCGCCCCCAGTAGCCAAATCAGTCAGTTTCACTGGTAACATCACCTTGCTGAGAGTAAGACGGCTTGAAATGTGCTTGGATCCATACAAAAACTGGATCCAAGTGGATCCAATTTTTGAATTTTTGAAATTGTTGCTATGCTGTGACGTAGCACCTTCAAGCCCTTAATCTTCTTTCCAACATTCCTTTTGAGTTCCTCTCTCCCCTCTCCCGGGGAGACCCACGTGACCAATTTTGGCAGTGAGCAAGTACAGTATAGTGTGTGCAGAGGGGGGGGGGGGGGGTTGTCAAGAGTACATACCGTATTTCTGCAAATAAAAGACCGTCCTCGTATAGAACGCCTTCCTCGAATACAAGGCCGGGGCAGGGGCGATTGAAAAAATACAAGACCGTCTCCGATTAGAAGACCGGGCCTACTAAATGAGTGCTCAAACTTGTGTTAAAAATAGAAGACCGTGCTAAAACTGTGGGAAAAAATAGAAGACCGTGCTCAAACTGTGTAGAAGAAAATGGAAGAACGGGGGTAAAACTGTGTGGCGAAAAATAGAAGACCGGGGTCAAACTGGGTTGAAAGAATAAAAGACCGTCCTCGAATACAAGACCGTCCTCAATTATAAGACCGGGTTAGGAAGAGTTTGAAAAAATAGTAGACCGGCCTACTTTTTGCGGAAATACGGTAACCCCCATTGCGGGTTAAGTGTTGTCGTGTTGGCGATATGGACGTGCTCCTTTCCAGTGTATGTGTGTGTGTGTATACCCCATATGGTGCAGTGGTATGTGCATCGATTTCCAATCAATAGGTTGCGGGTTCGATTCCCGACGATTATGGTCACACACGTCTTTCTTCTCTTTCTCAGACTCTTCCTGACCTTTCTTTCATTCTCCTGGGTGGTTACCAACAGCCAGTGCATGCCAGAGTACTAGTATGTGGTGTGATGTGTGTGCGGGGAAAAAAGTAAAAAAGACCAAAAAGTAGGGATTCACTGGCCAGAAAAGCCACTTCATAGCTGTGTGGTGTAGACCAGGCTGAATAGTGGCGGTCAATTCTTCAGCCTTGCAAGCTGTTGAATGGTGCAATCCCAGCACAAGTTGCTATGGCTTCTGCTGTAGCATCGCTATCATCGCCTCTGGCAATGGGCGTCCAATGGTCCAATGGTGTGTGTGTGTGTGTGTGTCTTTCTCAGACTCTTCCTGACTTTTCTTTCATTCTCCTGGGTGGTTACCAACAGCCAGTGCATGCCGGAGTATGTGGTGTGATGTGTGTGCGGGAAAAAAAAGAAGAAAAAAAAGAGAGAAAAAAAAAAGAAAAAAATGAAAAAGACCAAAAAAGGGATTCACTGGCCAGAAAATGTCACTCCAAATAGCTGTATGGTGTAGACCAGGCTGAATAGTGACGGTCAATTCTTCAGCCTTGCAAGCTGTTGAATGGTGTAATCCCAGCACAAGTTGCTATGGCTTCTGCCGTAGCATTGCTATCATCGCCTCCGGCGATGGGCGTCAAAGGTCAAGGTCAAAGGTGTGTGTGTGTGTGTGTGTGTGTGTGTGTGTGTGTGTGTAATACTGTGTATGTCTATGTTTTGAAGGTGTGCTCTGCAGTGTCAGTCTTTGCATGTAGGTACCAGTACCCTTGTTCCACTTGCTGGCAAAGCTGAAGGGTACACATTTGAAAAATAGACCACTCGTATCTGGACATTACGGTACTTGAGGATAAAAGGGCGAATGGGATTACCAGAGCACACCTTCAAACAGCTCACAAAACAGTGCTCGGATAACCAGTTGATAACCCGGGTAAGACTGTCATACAGAATGTTACTCATCCGTGACCATTGTTATTCACACCAGCTCAGCTGACTTTGCACATGTCAAAGAAAAACGATGTTTGCCAAATGATGATATACATGTACATGTAAGTGGTTGGAGACTACTGAATCAAGTCGGACTCCATTGGAATGCCCGCATCCCATGTCACGTTGAGGCGAAAAACTGCAAGAACCACCAGTCGTGCATTCTGTGAACATGTTCTAAGTTACAGCATTTTGAAGTAAAAACATGGTTGCGACCAGAAGATTACATATCAGAGCGTAAAAAAGAGCACTGGTATCCTACGACTAAACCCAAAAGTTGGAACTGCTTCAGAACAGGTGTATTGGTGTGAGAGACTCAAGTTGACAACGTCAATGATGAGGAACTAGCGTACTTTAATCTATTGTTACTCTGAGTTTCATGGCACCATGGCACCAAGGCCAATACTCAGACAGCAATAGTTACATGGAAATATAACATGGTAACTTTGCTTTGCGGAACGAGAGACCTATAAATTATACTAGCACAAACTTTCCTGTGAAGGATAGTTACTTCACAACCTAAGAACTAGACGCCGCGATCCCTTAGAACAAGGGCCCAGGGATAAACAGCTTCACACCGGCGTCGTACCGCTCCGATACAGGCGATGGCGTCCACAGGCCTCTTTCTATTCACAAATCCTGTTTCATCCACGGATCAGCATCGCATCCGAGAGAGGAGCCAACAGCCTGTCACACAATGTTGTCTTTCTCACACGCAAGTGTAAGATATAAGCCGGCCGCCCCGTCTCGGTGGGGATACCTGAAACCAGTGAGCCAGGTTTCGTCTAAGCCGGCAGCACAACAACTTGCGAGATTGCCGTCATCACAGTTGAGTGCAGTTGACGTGGAACTCGTCCATTCTACCAACATACTGCTCGGGCATTGGGCCCCTGCATTGTCACCACACAATGCTGGGCTTATCAAACTTAATAAGACTAAGAGTGCGAGGTGTAAGCTTACCACGCTACTTGAAACCAGCACGCCAGATTTGCTATCAACTGGTGGCATAACGAACAGCAAGGTCGTCGTCCTCAAAGCTGAGAGCGGTTGGATGGAACTCGTCCATTCCACCAACATACTGCTCAGGTGTTGGGCCCATTGCCACTTGTGCACAGCTGTGAATCGGCATGCTTTTAGCCGCTGAGTCGTTATTACAGCTGACACTGTCATGATCAGCCATTACTGGTGGCAATGGGTTGAAAGGCATGCTATCATCTCCTGGCTCCCAGTCCTGGTCCTGTGCAGATACTTCTTCTTCACTGGGATGCGCGTACACAGTAGAGAATATCCCAACATCCGACTCAAACACAACGTACGTCCGTGTTGATGACAACTTACCGGCCGATGGCTCTGTCTCCTGTATCTCTAAATCCCAGTCCTCTTCTGCCTCTTCTCCGCAGGTAGGTACGGCAACGGTTTCACTTGCAAAGCTACCAGCACCACCATTACTGTCACGGTTTTTGTTTTCCTGCAGCATTTCGCTGAAGCGATTCGCCTGCACGGCACGGGCACGGCTCGGATCAGTTGAGCCATGCGATTTCCACAGCACCTCGTGCCGGCCAAGCGCTTCCAGCACTTTGGCACTCATGCCAGCATCATATGTGTTGCATGTTCCATTCTTCCCAGCGGCCTTGACATCACTGGATGCAGCAGCAAACGTATGTCGACCCAGGGACAGGGCAAGCTCCACGTTGCACTCCTGAAAGAAGGGATTCTCAGTGACGTCCAGGTACGTAACGGCGGCCATGTCATTGAGACATGTTGGAAACGTCGCAAGATCATTGTCGTACATGTCCAGAACACTCACTTTCTGAAGTCTACTGAAACTGGCTGGTAACTCGGTCAGCCGATTTCCATCCAGATAGAGCTCACACAGGGACTGTAGGTTTCCAAAGTCATCTGGCAGAGACTCTAAGACATTCTTTGTGAGTCTGAGATGCTCCAGAGAAGACAGTTGGGTGAACGAGTCGGGTAGATAGGACAATGAGTCACGGGCCAGGTCGAGATACGTCAAATTGCGCAAGCTGCCAAAGTCTTCAGGTAGCTCTGCAATATAGTTTTCCGTGGCATCCAGATGTTTCAGCTGCACAAGCTGACACAATTCCTCGGGAAATTCCGAGAGTACATTACCATTACGGAAACTGCCACGCTCCGGCTCCCGTTCTTGGGAGCCAATGTGCAGGGTATGCATAGACACTAGGTTTCCTATTGAACTGTGCAGGCTGCGAAAGCTGTTCCCTCCACAAGTCAACTCGCACAGCTTAGCTGATTCCGACAGAGTCGGAAAGCTACACTCCAGTCTATTGCAGCAGAAGTTCAACTCGACAATGCAGGGCAGCTGCGCAAACCAATCAGGCACATGCACCAGCCAGTTCTTCTGCACATAAAGTTTCTCAATACAAGCTGCTGACTGGAATTCATCCCCAATGCTCACCAGTTGATTTTCACTAAGGTCAAGATATAACAAATGGCTCAGCTGTGAGAATGAGGGTGGCAGCTCGCATAATTTAGATTGGCTGAAATCCAGCGTCACGAGATTCTGCAGCTCACCAAAAGCGGGAGGCAGGCGCGTCAAGCTTGTACCACTTATGTGAAGCGTCTTCAAAGAAGCCAGTGAGCAAAATGAGTCCGGCAGTTCACTGATGTCGGTATCATCTAAACGCAACGTCTCCAGCTGACTGAGATGCAGGCCAAACCCCTCTGGTAATCCACTTAGGGAATTTCCCATCAAATTGAGCTCCTTCAGGGAATTCAACTGGCAAAGGCATTCCGGAATCGTTGACAGGTTATTTTCATCCAACGTCAACACGCGCAGGTGTGAGAAATCAGCACAGGACTCAGGAAGTGTGAGTAAATCATTTCCAGACAGGCGAAGCTCTTCCAACTTCGCCAGGCTGGAGCAAAAACTATCTGGCAGCGACGAGATGGAGTTATGTCCCAGATCTAGACACTGCAACGACGCGAACGCGTCGCCTCCAGACGAACACCGCAAGGGTAGAGTATCCAGGTTGCATGAGGATAGGTCAAGAGAGCATTGGGCTTCATCGGAATCATTGTCTTGCGAAAGGAATGTTTCTAATTTGGCTGCGACGATGGTAGACTCCTGACTGTCGGCACCCATGTTTCTTCTCTAGCGAGAATCAGGCTGTTATTCCATACATTGATTCAAACTAGCTTAGAAATTGTGGCCGTCAGAAAATACTCCTGGGTATTGAAAAGAAAATGTTACATGTCGATAGTTTGAATTACATTGTAGAGAGTTTTCAAATGATAAACTCCCTTCTTCAAGTAACTTTTTCTTGTATGCACGTTATTTCCGACGTGACGCGCAATTTGACGTCAATTTGACGTATTAAAACTAAAAAAAATTCGACGTGAGCTGCATGCAGCTGCAGGTCACTCGCGTTGCACGTTTACTTACGGTTTAGTTGTTTTTCGACGTGCGAGCCTGCATGCCGATCTGCACTGCACTGACGCTGTCGATACCAGTACTACTACTGTACTACCGGTAGTAGATCTACTACAGTCAGTAGGTAGTGGCAGTAGACCATGGTAGACCATGGTAGACCTACTGCCGTGCTGGAAGTAGATCAGATCATGCAGACTGCAGCAAATGAAGTGCGGACGATGTTTTTGACTTGATCCAGGAATGTTTACCACTGCGCTATCTGTAATTATAGTGATCTTCCAAGGCGTTTGTCGGTTTGAGAAGCAGCGATTTCTCTGCATCGTTGTTGCTTGCGGCTTGGTCTGCCTGATCTGACAGCGGTCCAGTTCTTGTAGGTGACATGAGAACTACTACCAGTAATTAGTAATTAGTTAGTGGCCTATTGTGAGCGAACGAATATTCATCCTTTCCGGAGCAATACTATTAGTACCACGTCGCTTCATCCGAGGACAGCTAGTGCAAGCGGGGTGAAGAAATATGCAGCTAACCATTCATGTGTTCGACAATGGCCGACTGGGCGGCAGGGTGATACCGGTTTCGTTCGCTAGGAAAGTTGGATCTGGCGTAAAGGTGGTTGATGTCCTGAGAGAGGTGTTCGTGCATGTTGACTTGCCAGTGGATGCTGCTGCCATCTTCTCCTTGTGGTGCACATCTCCTTTGCTAGGTGAGAGCTGCATTCATGTGGCCTATGGGGTTGGCGTAGCTCGTGCCAGTCGTGCTCCGCAGAGACGGAGACACTCCCACCGAGTCCCAGACTCACAGTTGGTCATGCATATACTGTGCTAGAAGAAAAGAAGAAAAAAAAGGTCACATTCAACCAGTGTCAGATTGGCAGGCCAACGTTACTGAGAAAAGCACTCGCAAATGTCGAGTGTTACGAATCACGATACGTGTGCAGAAGGGAGATGATAGAGAGGTTAAGATGCACGTTATTTCCGACGCGACACGCAATTTTACGTCAAATTTGGCGTAAAACTTCAAATTTCGACGTGAACAGCAGGTCACTCGCGTTGTTTTTCGACGCGCGAGCCAAATAACGCGAGCTGAACTTTCGCGCGTCCCTTCAGAAATAACGTGTATCTTGACCTCTCTAATAAAGCAACAACATTGTGGCAGGTGGAATGTAGAAATGAGGCAAGTCTCACTCGAGTCGCCCTGGCGCTTGAACAGATGTACGGCATACACACCAGTCTTGTATGTCGTTGTTGGTCCACGCCGACTTGGGGTCTAGGGTTCCCTGTAACAAGGCCGTGCCTGTTGGGACTCCCCCTAGTCAAATAATAAATACTACTACATGTACTAGGACAGCCTGACTCGGACACGCTGGAGTTCAGTAGGCTGTGGCCTTGAGTGCGATTGCGTGCTACCGTGACATACTAGTACCCCGGAAAATCATGTAGAACGTCCAAATCCAGGACACCGATGATCAGTGTGCACACCCTTCAAGCCTCTTCTCATGATTTATTTGTTTATTACAATAATATCATTATTCTCATGCGGCTCGAATCATCGGACGTCCATTGTTGAGAGATGAGGGTCTCGGAGAGCCAACCATGGTGTTGGGAATAAGACTACACCAAAGAGGAAGGCAAGAGCTACCCAATGATTGGACAAGCGCAGAAGCACTGTACTTGCTCTACTGATCTGCAATCAAACTCCTCTGATCTGAATGCCCAACTCAGTTGTGATAGGCCACATGCACGCACGGGGGCCTGAAGTGCATATGAAGCAAGTTGAAAATAATGATCTTTCACAGAAACAAGGGTGCTAGATTATATACTGCACAATACTGCTACTTCGAAGTGTGTCGGAGCAAGAGCGTTTCCTGCCTTTCACACACAGGTACACTGACTCCCTTAGGTCGGCGACTGTTGCACGCACGGAGCGATCGCCAGGCAGCTTCATGTTGATTTTCACCGAAATTTCATTTTGGTAAATAGGGGAAGGACAAAATGTTACGGGTTATGACTAACTGTCCACCAACGTAACCAGATCATACACTGTCAGCGCGAGGGTGACAAAATGGCACAAAACTGACAAGGAGGACTGAGACATTCAACGACCTGACACCTAGGTCCAACACTTCTCCGAGGCGCAAGCCTTGTCAGTTTTGTGCCATTTTTCCACACTCGTTGCCTATATGGTCTGGTTACGTTGGTGGACAGTTAGCCATAAACTCGCAACATTCTGCCCTTCTCCTTTTTACCATAATTAAATAGGCTCGCCATTCGAGTGCAAATTTCATTTTGAGAAGAACTTGTTCATTTTTTGGTAGACCTGCTAGGCTAGCAGATGATCATGCGTGCTGATGCTGAACCTGCCATGCCATTCATGAGTCACGCGCGTGGCATGTCTGTTCCCTGTGATATTGCAAGTTGAACATTGAAAATGGCTCCATTTTTTGTGATTTCATAAAATGATTTCCAAAGATCCCGGTGTCGAAACAATGGCATCCCGGTCAGAATTTGAAGAGAGCACTGACCCCTAACACTAAGACAGTATTAGTCATGTGACACTGCGGTGCACCGTTAAACCTAGCCCTGGCAGCCATGACAGACTGCATTTGCCGGTATTCAACTGTCATGCTGTTGTATCCGGGTGTGATTCTCCACTCAGAGCTCCAGCTAAAGCCGAATCAAAAGGTACAGTCGGTCGTCTCTCAATGGCAAGCGCTGCTGGCAAAGTACACGACAGCCACCGTGGAGAAGGCAGAGGATGGTAAGAATTATTCTTTGGTTTGAGGGAAAGATGCAACGTGACTGGAAAAGTTTGAAGTAAAAAAAATTGACTGTCACCACCAGAACTCGAACCAGGAACCTTCGCTTGAGACCAGTGATGCTCTAACCACTGAGCTATGCTGTTGTTGTCATGGTAACGGAAAGTACATCATTAGGGACTTGTGCAAACCACTCCGCTAAAAGCACACGTGCATTATACCCAGCCTTCCTGCCTTGGTGTGGAGCTCAGCGGATAGTTTATGTCCGTACAGCAATGCCGCCAGAGAGCGCGTTTGGTGGAGGTGGAATTACTTTATACAGCAATCGCCCCCCTGTTTAAGCTGGCACTCGTCTAAAACTAGGAAATAGATAATTGAAACTTGCTTGTTGTTGAGGCAAGCCGGCCCATTATAGCGATCAGTTGTAGATATTGGCCTCATACTCTTCCAAGATCGCACCGTATTCGACCTGCTTTGAAAACCACAATGAGATTGTTATGAACCCTCTGATTCTCTAAAAGTGTCAGGAATGAACGACCACACGGCACGAGGACAACTATTGAATCTTAACGGTATATATCACTCCGATCGAATTATAATAACTAACACTAAGACCACCAGCTAGTTAAAGCGTGAAAATGACAGCGCATATCAGAAAAGCATACACATACAACATACAACTACAGCGCACACAGCAAATCGCACTTAGCACATGTAGTGTATGCCACGTCGTAAACATCAGCGGTACGGCGGAGTCGAGATACAACTGCATTGAAACGAACACAATGTCACAAGCGAGAAGGCCTTTCACACTTGAGAACTTGTGGTTTCGTAACAGAGATGATTCTTTGCTATGAGATGATCCTTCTGTGTATTGCCTGGCACGTTGTGATGCAGACATACCACTCCTGACGCTGCGACGTAACTGCTTCTACCCTCGGACAATGGAAAGGAAACTGCTCATGGAGCAGTCACTACGCCTTCTTTACCACGAGGTTAGTCAGAACCGGAGCGTATGTTCCGATAGTATCAAGTGGGAGTCAGGCTAACAGAATGTGGATTGCCCGGGAATAAACAATTTCAACGGAATTGGCTTGATAGACACGGTACATAGAACAATAGCCATAGCCCTACAATACAACAACATCGTCATCATCAGTGTAAACGCTACGATCACAGGGTGGAACGGAAGGTGGCTCCTTTTCACAGACAGTACAATTTTTCCAGAAGTCAGTCATGTACAGCGGGCGAGGTAGCAGTGGCGGGTACGGTATCACCCTTCATACTCTATGTTAATGTCAAATTTGGCTGAATGATAGGAGTGGATATTGCGTATTACGCCTATAATAATAATAATAATAATTGTAGTACAGCAATCACAACTGCATTTCAGGAGCTCCTAGTCTATAGTGATGAAGCTGATGTTTTTTCCCACTAGTAGTAGCTAGTAGCTTGTTCCATTGTGTTGGTTCTCATGTGTCCACAATGGGGTGATTATGAAAAAATATCAGGCTGGGCTGTCTTCCCTTATTGGAGTTGTACGACGCCTTCCCTTTCCCAATTGTGCGTATTCAGGCTCAATTCAACATCACGACGTATCGATATGTGCCAGAACGGATACAGGACTACTATGACTTAGCCGCGGCCAAAGCATGCATTGACCTCGGCTTGTTTGACCCTCAGCGGCACACGGTGGCACGTATGAAGTAAGCGAGTCAGTATCCATGGTAGATTAGAGGGCCCTGGTTGGATGCGGCACAGCCGCCCATGTGGATGATTGTAGCAGTGCTGTCATGCTAGGCTTCCCTGCACTACCGGTGTACGCAGTGCTGTCATGCTAGGCTTCCCTGCACTACCAGTGTACGCAGTGCTGTCATGCTAGGCTTCCCTGCACTACCAGTGTAGCAGTGCTGTCATGCTACAGTCTGTACAGTGCTTTGCCTTTCTCTACCTATCATGATCTGCTGCATTTGCTTTCGACCTCCGGGTTAGGGCACGTTCAGACTACCGTGAATCCCGTCAAACCGTGAATGCCGATAAACCGTGAAGGACATTCACACTACCGATAAACTAACGTTACCAGTATGCAAGTTTTGCAGCTCTCACCGCGGCACTGAGACGGGATTTTCCCCTTTTCCCAGCCTGAGCACTCTTTTTACTGCCGGAAAAGCTCTACTGCCGCAGCAGCTGCGGCAGTAAAACTTTTCCGCCGGTAGCGTGCCAGTAACGTCACGTGATCAAATCACCTTGGAAACTTTCCCATTCCGTCACTTTTTATCGGTAGTCTGAACGCGCCCTTAGTGCGACATTCATGTGCCATTGTATCTTAAATTCCGTCTATGTATTTGTATACTGTGTACTGATTGGAACCTACATGTATAGCGACACTGAGCCTGATTAAGTGATTATGATGTTCAATGTTCTTCGATCTTGGTATTGCCTGTCTGGTGGTCTGCACTGCAGAGAAGTGGTAGTGCAGTACTTCACCCCGCAGTTCATCAGGCCTCGCCTCGCCGACTCGCTCGTGGCGCGCGATCCGCGCGTGGAGGTGACAAAGCAGTGGCTACGCGAGTATCAGCGGGTCAGCGCCATGACCCTTCCCATGGTGCAGCTGTACCGACGCTACCTGCAGGTCTGCTGGAATGTTCCGACGTACAGGTACGGTCTAGCTCCTATGCCGTGCTCTGTGCTGTGCAGCCGGGTATGGCCTAGCTCGTGTGCGTGTTCTGTGCTATGCAGTTGGGTACGACCTAGCCCCCATGTGTCTTCTGTGCTATGCAGTTAGGTACGACCTAGCTCCTGTGCGTGTTCTGTGCTATGCAGTTAGGTACGACCTAGCTCCTGTGCGTGCTCTGTGCTTTGCAGTTAGGTACGACCTAGCTCCTGTGCGTGTTCTGTGCTATGCAGTTAGGTACGACCTAGATCCTGTGCGTGCTCTGTGCTATGCAGTTAGGTACGAGCTAGCTCCTGTGCGTGTTCTGTGCTATGCAGTTAGGTACAACCTAGCTCCTGTGCGTGCTCTGTGCTATGCAGTTAGGTACGACCTAGCTCGTGTGCGCGTTCTGTGTTATGCAGTTAGATACGGCCTAGCTCCTATGTATCTTCTGTGCTATATACAGCCCTCATCACACTCATTCACAGGCCTGATTAATTTTGTTCAGGTCAGAAACACGGCAGTTCACACACTCCTATTCTGAGGGAGGTAGGGAGAAGCGGTGTTTCTTCAGGAAACTGGGATAAATGCCATTGATCAGGTTTCATCTATTGGCACCCAACTTGAAGGATGCTCACCCTCGATGTGGCCTTCAAGTTCTTGGTGGTGTGGAGGCATCAACTACCTACACCCGATTTGCTATGTATTTTCCCTCAATCGACTTAGAGTTCCCAGTGGTTTCGATATGTGACATATAGTTGCCTGTGTTCTTTGCAGTGCTGTGTTCTTCAAGGGTGAAATTGCCTGCCCTCGCCGGCTACGTCGCACTCTGCTGGACCAGACGGACGTGGGTGTCCGTGTGGCTATCAACCAGGATGGTATCCACCTCGTCCACGAGGAGAAGAATGTAAGCGGTTGACTGTGGAGATTTGGTGTTGTAGTGACCTGCATGAGGTCTATCTCCTCGGTGTAGTCCTACTAATCCTGGGTTAATGGCTTTTGGAACTGGTTGTAGGCTTGTAGCGAGGAAAGTAATAAAAACAACCCAGCTTCCGATGGTGATGACCTGCAGAGTGCTGCGTGACATTGTCTATCACCGATGCCAGACTGGCAATGAGGGGAACGGGACCTTTTTACATTCCTGCTAGCATAGCCTTCATACCTGGTATAGCCGGTGTGTCCGTTTTAGGTCTCACGACTTTGTGGTTTGCTCGAAGCCACGTGCCATAGCACGCAGAAGTCAAGACTTTGCCAGAATCTGGTGTGAAAGGTGCTCAGAATGAAAAAAGGCTTTAGAGAGGCCTTGTACATACTCAGTACATATCTGTCTGATGCTACTGTATACATACTGCCTGGACCAGTTAAGAAAGCTCAATGCCAGACTTTATTTATGGTAACACATGCCCACCCATGTCTATGTGCCTGTATTGCAACAGGAGACCTTGATTAGCTTTGCCCTGGACCAGGTATCCTGGGACTATGCTCCAGCACAACGCGAAGGCGAGAATGAATTTGCCTCCCTGTATCTCGAATTTGATGGAGAATTCAACGGTACAAAGTGCAAGTTCCTCGTGGAGGTCTTTTCTCGCCAGGTACGTCGGCATGATGTCTTGCAGCAATTTGGTCGCTTGATGAATCCACAATTAAAATAATTTGGCTGGTCCTGAGATGAAGGTGAGCGGTATGGTCGGTCACGATCATGCCTCAGTGCCTGCGGTGGTGTTGCAGACGGATATGCAATCTACGCTCGTTTGTAGTCCCATTCGGTAACACCGCTTTTAGTAGGGGGGGGGGGGGGACCAATGAGTCACGATGTTGACTGAAGGAAAAATATCTCAACTCTCACATTTTTCTTGAACCACTGGCACTGGTCCCGGATGTAGTTCATGCACTACTCCAGTGGAATTCACAAGAACGATGCAGATCATGTACGATGTGGGTCTATGTGAAATTTGAAACCTACGATTGTGTTGTTCTTGTGCTTCTGTTAGTATTTGGCCGGGTGCATACGCCCACACATGTGTTTAACTGTGTATCATGTTGTGCATGCGTGGGGTCAATGCCAGTTGTGCATGCGTGGGGTCAATGCCAGTTGATATGCAGTTGATAGCCAATCTATACTATAGGATTCCATTTCGGTAAAAGAATTTGGGTCAGTCGTTTCACCCCAACTGTGAATGCTGCACATGTACACTTCCAGCAGGACATTTGTCACATCTAGTAGTCAGGTTTGTATGAGTAGTCCAGTTCTTCGCAGATTCAGCTGAGTGTATGTGCATACCTGACTGTAGTGTTGTGTGCAAGCCATGTGCTCACACAATGTAGGCATGCTCAACTGATGTGTGCACATGGTACTGTGTTCCTTTCCTATCCAAACACACACACACACAAACATGCATGCACATGCACACACATGCATACAAATGCACACACAAATGCACACACATGCGCACGCGCGCGCACGCACACGCACACGCACAGGCGCAGCTGATGGACGCAATGATCTCGCAGTGCGTCGAGATGGCTGAGGAGGAGGAGCAGAGAATTGCACAGATACGACGCAATCAGGGCACAGAAGGGTAAGCCTGAGGATCCGCTATTTGCCGGCCTGCATGGTACTGAGTCTGTTGTTTCTAGTTGTTTAGTAACTGGTGGTGTTAGTGGACATTATAGTGTAACTTGTAATTTTTGGTCCTTTTTTCTTTACTATAAATCTATAGTATATGATGTAATGCCAGTGTGAAGACAGTAACTGTTTGGCAACACAGGGTTTAAAAATGGTTTTCATACAGTCATCGAGATTTAGAGTGCACTGCCTGACGAAATTCATTACCGAACAAGGCAATGGCAAAGCAAGAACAAACGCTGGGGTACACGTCCTGGATCCACATTACTAGTGGCCAAGGAGTTGTATGAATTTTGTTGTTGTGGAATTACCAGGTAGTCCGGCATTATTTGAGTGGTGGCTGTATCGCCGCGTTGTTTATTGCATCAATCTGTCAATCATTATCTTGCTTGTGTCAACTGGGTATTGTTTATCAAGCATATTATTTAGTTTAGGTGCATCGCAGGAACGCAGCTTGTTGCTTCGTAACATTGTGTGTAGCATGTCCTGTTTTTGTATGTTGTATGTTGGAGTGTGACAAAGTACAGGCAACCCGGGCCAAGAGGTGTAGATATAGAATGCCAACGCAATTAATTTTTCTGGTGCCCAATCAAGTAGTACCTGTGCATTGTATGCTCCATTGTGGAGGGTTCAGGGGCAATAGCGTGATAACGAGACTATTCTGGCATACTAGTGGGCATGTCTATGTACTGCACGTGTGTGTAAATTCTCTAAATCATTGACCAAATCAAAACATTACAGTTTTGATTGTGTACATGAATGTGTGCGTGTGTGCATGTGTGTCTTTGCTTGCTTATGACTGTGCTCACCCATGTTCATTCACGTTGTCAGATTCGTGGAGAGACAAGTGATACACACAGGTAAGTAGCCCGAGCCAGGAACAGAAGCACCGTGCACCTCTTCAGACAAGCACACGAGGCTAAAAAGTCTCAGCTTTCTGACATGCAATTATACTGCGCATTGCCTAGGTGTATTGCATCGTGTACAGATGAAGCTAGGTCGTGATTTTCACTGTTAGCCTAGCTTGATAGCTGTGCTACAGAATGCAGTTGGTTGTGGTGTTGGTAGCTTTACTGAAGGGGTTCAAACATCAAGTGGAATACACAGTAGTGCCCATGGTAGCATTTCGAACCTTCCATGCGTCAACTTGTTCCTACGTTCACATGCAAGTAGGAGGATTGTGATATTTACCATACGTGCATGCACATTCTTTGCCTTTGTGCACATTCAGATCTGAAGCGGCATTTTGGTGAGGTGCAGCAACTAGCCAAGTATGTTGCAGTCCAGACCTGTGTAGCGGGTGAGTGCACTGGAATGCATGTATGAGTGACTGATTGAGTGGACATGGAAAGGGGGAGGGGGGTCACAGACAGGCATATTCTAAGCACAGGCAAGGCTGCTGATCTGGTAGTATAAACATTTGTTTTGGGGAGAGCCCATACTACGCCATGCATGAATTAACCGCAGTCTTGCAAGGGTGTACACCACTCATAGCTGAAGATCTCTTGTTTGTTTACATGATGTAGACTGACTGGAACCATGCATCAATGCCAATCTGCGCCTTAAACGTATGTGCTTGTACCATAAAGTACCGCGAGAGCGCCCCACTGTCTCGTCCTTTCGTGGCCGTATTGTGGAGGTGGTGTCTTGTCTGTAGGTACATGTACTACGACACGGACCTCCATGGTCTCGATGACCTCTTGCTGCTCCAGCTGTCTGAGTAGGCTGAGTAGGCTGAGTAGGCTGAGTAGGCTGAGTAGGCTGAGTAGGCTGAGTAGGCTGAGTAGGCTGAGTAGGCTGAGTAGGCTGAGTAGGCTGAGTAGGCTGAAGAGGCTGAGTAGGCTGAGTAGGCTGAGTAGGCTAACGGTCACGGTCATCAGCTGATTCCTCAGCTGACGGGATGTCAGATTCTCGATAGAAAGACGAATCAAGAATATCTTCCGCTTCTTCTTCATGTTCCGAGTCGTCATCACTCTCTGGTTCACTAAGAGCCCCGTCTATTTGCTCCTCTTCCCCAGAGGGTGAGGGGGGGGGAGAGAGAGAGAGAGAGAGAGAGAGAGAGAGAGAGAGAGAGAGAGAGAGAGAGAGAGAGAGAGAGAGAGAGGCAAAACGCTTCACCATCACTATGCTCCCACTATGCATTTTTTTTGTCTTTGCCTGTGAGCTGTGACCATTGTAAAAAAGAAAAGAAAAAACAGAGAGAGAGAGAGAGAGAGAGAGAGAGAGAGATATTCAGAGCTTAGTCAGCTCACACAATAGGCATCCATCATCTTTTGTGTCATGTTATGTACTGGAGAAGGTTCGTAACACACTAGACATGCTTAGCATTTTACCATTCACGCTAAATCCAGCGGCACTCATACCTAGCAGGCTAGCACCCAAAATACCGTCGGTTTGGTATCGTTTCGACGATAGAAGGCTCTGTTTAGCGGGAGAATGAAACGATACGATAAAAGGCTCTGTTTAGCGGGAGAACGAAACGATACGATTCCAACTAGGGTGATATCACAAGCCGATCGTTGTGTCAGAAACCGAAATGCTAACCATGTCTTAAAAACACACAAAAAATGGTACGTACAGGCCGACGGTCGAAGTTAGCGTGAACGGTAAAATGCTACGTAGCATTGCGGCTGCTTATTGTTTTCGAGCTGATTTTGAAGTACGTGTAGTAGCTAATTTGTGGGGTGTTTTCTCTTCATTGCATTTTGCCAACTTTCAGGGAGATGCTACCCTGGGCTGCCTAAAGCGGCTGATCTTGCCGGAGCGGCCACCCAAGCTGGAGAAGCTGTGTCTGGCCACCGTTCAACTCATGTTTAGTCACTCACTTACGTCGGATACAAACCATTCCACAGAAGATGGTATGTACATGCTATAGATATTCTCCCAAGTCCATCATTTGTCTGCCAATGGTATTTGTTCTCCAGGAATGGTTACCTTCAAAAGGAAGATTGCAGTTCCATTGACTTTGGGGGAATTATTGCTCCTTTCGGCTGGGGATATATACCAGTTCTGTCCGCAGACTGAGTACTATGTGCATACGTACATCTGTACTAATTTGGTTCAGTTTGATTTGATTCAGCGTGTTTCCTTTGATACTGGCTATCACTACAGGTTGCTGCTAGCAGTATGGCGGATCAGGCGGTTGCAAACAAAGGCTCGGAATGCTTGCTGTAATACTGCGGTAACAGGCTGGCCAACTGGTATTTCAATGTATGGTGGCGGTTCAACTTCCATGTTCGTTCGCGGGTCCTACCCAGGTGGTGTGTAGTGTCGTGAGCAGATCGTCAACAATAGCATGCAGCATGTTATAGATATGAATGCTGTACCAGAACGCGTCCTGCATGCACTTGCTGTGCCTCCGAGCTATGCCGAGTAATGCCAGTGCAGCCGCCACCACTCTCATTTGTTACGACGGCTGCTTGTTTGTACCTCTATCACGAGTAAAGAGCATGCTCTCTCATTCACGACAAAGTTACGCATCGTCCTTTTCCGGTAGCATCGCTAGTGATCTGAAGCCATGGACTGCGCTGTGATGTGGTACTGTGCTGAAGCCATGGACTGCACTGTGATGTGGTACTGTGCTTCTTCAAGACTGACAAGACAGCTGGCGTAACAGTCAACTGTTTCATACCAATGGCAATACTGCGGATTACCCAGTCGTCTTATGTGTGCTTGTCAGCTCCGCCTGGACACCGATAACGTGCTATACTAGTCTTTTGATCCGATAAAAAAAATCAGTTTACAGCCAAATCACGCGCTGGTAAAGTGCAGTACAAGTACAGTAACTTAGTGTGGAATGCCAGTTCACTGCCAGCTTTGAGCTAGTACTAGCATAGGCAATGTGTGGCAATGCACTACCGTATCACCCGGCTCACAGCTATGATTTGACATGATTATAGGTGTTTTGATATTAGAGATGTCCCCATTTGCACCGTGAACAAACCCCTGCTTCTAGATTGAGATTGTAAGCTTGAAATAAAGTTGCAGTCATTGACACTACATAATTATACTGAATTTGTTCACTCGTATTGTTTCATGCAAGCTGTAGAATCTCCCTGTTTGATCACAGTGGTCCACTAGTGGACGATACCGCCCTTCACTGGCCTCCGCTTGATTCTACAGTGCATGCAGTGCTGGCCAGAGAAATGCAACCTCATGAATAAAATAGCGCCGCCTTCGAGTGCACAGACCAGTATGTGTGGTGCTAGGGCTGCATATGCATAGCGCCCTGCGCTATTTTATTCATAAAGTTAGATTTCTTTGGCTAGTACGAGTACTGTACCTGGAGCATGATCGCCTGCAGTCGATTTGTACATAATGTATTCTGGAGCTTAGTGGCTAGCAGGGAGTAGTAATTTTACTACTCCCTGGTGGCTAGTCCTGTCGCGATGTTTGGCTTTCTTTTTCTTTCTTTTTTTTCCGCTCTGCCAAGGTCGCAGGTCTCTTTCGTCTTTTTTCCAAGCTTGGCTTGGCAACTCCATCACCTTATCTCGTCCTCCAGGCTTCTCGGCAACACAGCCACATCCTTTATATTAAAGCCGCCTGGGCGGAGTAAAAGAAAGAAAGCCAAACATCGAGATAGGACTTTTTTATTTTTTTATTTTTTTACTGAATACCACAGTACCATCAGATGCTGCACAGCGGGGGCGGTGGCATATTGGATGGAAGTGGGGGCGGGGCAAAAGTAACTCCTCCGACCAAAGGTCTCGGAATCATCGTTACTCCTGTGCGCCGATACATAGGAGAAAAGAAACATGTGCATCCAAGAGGGGAGCACCGGCTTTGCAAACGATAATGTGGAGAATTTGAGATTGGGATAGGACAAAACAATAGTAAAAGCAGTGCACCGTAGGAAGATGGAGTGAACTGATAATAATTGGATTTTAAGGCTGAGCGAAGGGGATCAAAGAGGGGTAGAAGGGAGCTGGAGTGCGGTCAGTATAATTAGGCTGGTGTGTTGGCAGAGATCATAGCCTGTCTGTGGCCCACTCCCACTTGCTGCGCCGCAAGTGGTCGTTGACGTTTTTCTTGAACGTGTGCATACCTCTGCGAGAAGGGGGAGACTGCAGAAGGGTAGGTGGGAGCTGATTCCACGTTGCGATGAGGGAGTGGGAAAATGAGCGGAGCGTGTTGTTTCGTGCCTGGGGAGGAAGAATACTGGTGAGTTGCGATGGATGTGTTGCAGATCTGGTTGTCTCACGAGTCGACATGCGGCATTGCGGTGCGGCTGCTGATGGTGGCAGAATGGCTTTCACCATTTCCGGACCCTCCACAAAGTGCAGCTTGTACAGAAAGCAGAGCCCTGCTACGGTACGGCGAATGTCGAGGCTCGGGAGGTATGATCCATCTCCAATTATGTGCAGGGCACGGCGCTGGATGGCAGTGAGGCGGGCCAAGGTGGTGGGGGCTGCGCTCATCCACACCAGCATGCCATACTCTAATACAGGGCGGACAAAGCCACGGTACACGATTGCCCGGTGCTTTGGGTCTAGCACAGCCGATGCCTTACGGAGGAAGCCGAGCCGCTGGGCTCCGCGTACTGCAAGCTGTCGGATATGGCTGCGGAATGCCAGCTGCCTGTCGAAGGTGACGCCAAGAAGCTTGAGCTCCTCTACTTCTGGCACGACTGCTCCTTGGAAGCGTATTCCGTTCGGGGGGGGGGGGGGGGGGGGTTGGCGAGCGGTGGTGGCTGATGGTCAATGCCTGCGACTTTGTGGGCTCGAACTTGATCCTCCACCTGCTTCCCCATGCTGCCAGTGAGTCTACTGCCTGCTGGAGGATTGCTGTCTCTTCTGGCAGTCTGAGTCGGGTGGTGATGCACTTGTGGAGAGTTGTGTCGTCGGCGTATACAGCCAGCTTCGCCCCATCAGGCAGGTGGTCTTCTGCGTCGTTGACGTACAGAAGGAAGAGGGTGGGGCCGAGGATGCTGCCCTGTGGCACGCCAGATTGGATCCGGTGGGTCGGTGAAGACTGGCCACCTATGACGACACGGATGTGGCGGTCTGTCAGGTAACTCCGGAGCCAGGCAAGGAGGAGGCCACTTATGCCGCACCGCTCAGCCTTGTGGAGGACGCCGTTGTGCGAGACCTTGTCGAAGGCCCCGGCAATATCTACTGCGAGTACCCTGACGAGGCCTCCACTTGCAGCTGCAAGGCTCCACTCATGCTGAAGAGCAATCAGCAGATCAGAGGTTCCCAGTCCAGTGCGAAAGCCAAACTGCCTGTGAGAAAGGATGTCATTCTTCTTCAGGAAGTTGGACAGGCTGCGGTTCACGATGAACTCCATACACTTAGACATTATGGGCAGTAGTGATATCGGTCGGTAGTTTCTGGGGTTCGACTTGGGGCCTTTCTTGTGTACCGGTACGACGTTGGCAACTTTCCACATGGCAGGTTGATGACCACTGCAGAAGCACAGGGTATACAGCTTGGATAGGGGCAGGGCCAGAGAGTCGGCACATTTTCTCAGCACTCTAGCAGGTACTGCATCAGGCCCTGTGGCTTTACTTGGGTTCAGGGCTCGGAGTGTCCGGCGTACGGTGGCTTGGCGGAAGTGGACTGTTGCAAGCGTATTTGCGGTGCGCTGGCGGACATGCGGGAACGGCCCCGACTGTTCTGCAAAGTCATCGTCTAGGCTGCACTTCTGGGCAAAGTACTTCCCGATGACGTTAGCCTTGTCGTGGCTTTTGGTGCATTCCATGCCATCGGGGTCAACCAGGACTGGGATGGAGCTGTCCCGGCCATGCCCTCCAACTCGTTTAATCACGCTCCACCACTCTCTGTCCTGCAGGCTGCCCGTCCGGAGCCGTTGCTTGACATGGTCGAGATGTCTGGCTTTGGCTCTTGCTAGACATCTTGTTGAGTCAAGGAATGCTAGCTTGTACGTACACTGGAGCGCTCCATTTCTGGGGTCATCGCGGAATTTCCGCCAGGCATTGCGCTTTCTGTCAACTGCTGCAGAGCATTCTGGCGTCCACCAGATTGGGTCCTGCGGTCTGGTCTTGAAGACCTTGGATGGTATAAAGCGTTGCATTCCCTCAGTGATTCGCATGGTCAGAAGCTCACATGATATGTTAGGGTCGCCGCCGATTATTGTGCCCCAGTCAGTAGTCCGGAGGAAGGCAGAGAGGCGGGGCCAGTCAGCCCGCTGGTATCGCCATACTGTACGAGTGGTGGGTTGGTCTACAGATGCAGTAAGCTGGAAGTCGGCTATGACAACAGCATGGTCTGATCTGCCAAGAGGTGGGTGGGTGGTGGTAGACACAGTTCCAGGCACATCTGACATGACGAGGTCAAGGATGTTTTCTCCACGAGTGGCTGATGTGACGTGTTGTCGGAGACCATGTACACAGCACATGTCTTCTGCAGCTTCTCCAGCAGCCGAGGTGCGTGGACTTCCAAGCCATTCCCGGTTGTGGGCATTGAAGTCCCCTGCCACAATAATGTGTGAGCAGGACTGCCGGGCTTTGTCGATGTCAGATTCCAGCTGGGTGAAGATACTGCAGTCGCTGTCTGCACTCGTCCCAGGTCTGTAGGCAGCACAGATGCCAAATTTCATGCCTGACGGTGCAGCAACACTAATCCAAAGAGTTTCACACTCAGAGTTGATGTCCAGTTGTTTGTACGCCATCCCTTCTTTCAGCCATATGGCGACTCCGCCGCCTTGCGCTGTCCGGTCTCGACGTATTGGGGGGTAATAGCCACGGATTGAGACTTCCGCAACTGTAGCCTTGTCGGGCGATAGTTTGGTCTCGGTGACGACAGCGATGTCTACATGCAGGCTTTTCAGAGTATGCTGAAGCTCATCCATTTTGTTGTAGATGCTGAATGCATTCGTGAGCAGAAGACGGAGTGAGGGGGCCTTAGTTTTCATTGTGACCATTGGCGTTGTTTGGGTTGGTGCATGGCCTACATTGGGTGGTGGGCTCGTGGGTCTGTGTATCCTGCTGGGGTGGCTGCGCACCATGCTGGTCAGCTCGCTTCTTCGCATCCTGCGGCAGCGAATCTGGTGGCCGTTCTGCAGAGGAACGTTTGTGGCTGTGAAGGGGGGTTACAGGTGTGCCGGCAGCGGCAGCGGACAGGCCACGACTGGCGCTCAGGAAGTTGTTAATTGTGGCGCCAATCCCAAGTTGCTGTTGCTCTTGATCATGCTGCTGTGCTTCCAGCTGGTTGGTGCTACTGTCGCTACTGCCGCTGCGGCGACTGCTGGTGCTGCTGCGGTGACCACTGGTGCTGCTGCGGCGACTGCTGGTGCTGCTGCGGCGACTGCTGGTGCTGCTGCTGCTGGTGTTGTTGTTAGTGTTGTTGCTGCTGCTGCTGTTGTTGTGCTTGTTGTGGCTGCTGCTCTTGCTGCTGCTGATGCTTTTGGCCGCATTTGCATTTGTGGAGGTGTGGAATCTCCACGGCCTGCAGTAGAGCGGCCTTGGCCAGAAATTGGCTGACATCACTGTCAGCTTGCAGGTGGCATCAACTGATATCCTGGCGGACACTTGCCCATTTCCGGCTGTGTGTACTTGCCGCTATGCTCCAAAGTATGGTGTATACATGATAATTATGATGTGTTCAAAACCCCAAAAAAGGGCAGAAATGTAGGTGAACAGACACTTGATCATATGCATACACAATGCGCCACGCTGGTGCAGCAATAGCACGTAGCCATAAGTAATTAGTTAGACCTGTTCAGTGGTACACGTATTTCTTCTCGATGATATCATTAACCAGTTGACGCCACCCGGATATCGTGCCCGCAAGTTCACGCAATCATTATAATCTGCACTGCAGACGCCTACAATGTACACGGTTGTTGAGCGACATCCCGATACTCGTCAGATCATGGTGTAGGACGGTCAGCAGTTCTGTTCTTGGTCGGCCTCTGTACTACTGAGGGAGTGTAGCTGGTCGTCCGGTCCCGCACACTGAAGTAGGCCTGCATTGCTGCATGTGCTGGGATGTCTCCGCCCAACCGCAGGATATGGCGAATAGCCCCCATCTGGCTTTTGCGATTCGGATTGAGACGGATACTCGTTCGGTGTTGCACCTAGCCTCAGACTAGTCAGGGTTTGAGATGCCTTGAGGCCAATGGACTCCAACAACACATCTC